TTAGACTTGTAAAATATTTTTTTTAATAAAGAATGGTCAAAGCTCAGGCTGTCATGTATCTGGCTTTTTATTCTTGGATAAGAATGGTGAAGACCCCCATACTGAGATATAATTTAAGTTTTCTTATTGTGGAAAAAGCATTTTCTGTGATTGACCAGATTTTAGCAATAACAAAGATAACTGATGGATCCTTTATAATAATACGTTATGGTACAACTACAGTGCAATGCAAATAGTATAACATAAAGTGAGAAGTAATAGTAAATAGTTTAGTCAATAAAATAAACAAATAGTATACAGCAAATAAAATAGTAATGATTAGTATAATTATATAATATCATAAGTACAATAATACAATCATAAAAATATTGATAATAGCATAGTTTATTAATAATACTATAATAATAGCAATAGAATAAGAAATATCAATTACAGAATATACACAATAAAAAATAAGTTAAATAGTGACTTTAATATTTAACTCTTTTTGTTAAATTTCAGTTTTATTGATCAGTAATAGCCATTATAACAGAAGTAGCTTCAGTCAAACATACAGCAGGATACAATGTTAAAATAGCCTAAATATAAAGTTATGAAACTTCACTTTGCCCTCAGCCAAAACGATTTGCCAGGGAACCATTTATAGATTAATGAGACCAAAGATCGCCCGTTAGATATACAGACATCCGAGTCAGCGGCAAAACTTCAAAAGCACTGGCCGAGGGACGGCTGTTCCAGTAAGATGCGCTGAGCGCATCTTACAACTCCGAAAACGCCAGATCAAATTTTTAAATAGGCGCTATCTTTATAAACAAACCACATATTTGAGCTTTAAACAACTACATTGTCGACTGAAAAACTATTTAAACTACATTTCGTGACACAATAACAGTAGTATTTTAAAATTTATCCTCTGAACGTTACTATTACTAATTAAATCATGACCAAATACAACCAAAAACAAACGTTCAGTCTTGCTTGTGAAAGGTAATTCCTCGAAAGCTGTTTTCAATTGTGTGGCGATGTGTACAGCCCCAAACAGCGCACAAAACATGCATTTTTCTCAATTCCCGGTATGAGAGGTATGGAAAAGTTGCCATCCCCAACATGGCGGCGCCGTTGACGTACGCTCCAGCGGCCAATAGGGCGTCTATGTATTTATTATGTCTATGGTTCTAATCACACCGCTGTGAACGTACGTGCGAAAGGGTTAACAAATATGCCTCGATTATTGAAGGAAAACGTGCTTTATTTGTAATTTAAAATGATGGTGCTGATGATTTTTAGAGCCCCCACAGGTGTAGGATTTTACTGCTTTCATGGGAGCTCATACACTCTCTATGGGAGCTCAGCTCCCACGTAATTCGAACCATGGTTGTGGGCCAATGAGCCCAAAAGTCTAGCGCCCTCTGGTGGAGCCAGTAATATCTGCTATGTCTTATGACAGTCTTTCTCATTTGATCTCTCATCTACGCACAGGCTACACCTTCACCTGCTATAGAGGATATGGTGTGTTGAGGAGGGTGTTGTATTGCGTGTTCAGTTTCTTTAATTGTGTGTTGGGGTTGTTTTGGTGTGTGTTTAGGTTTTTATTGTGCATTGAGGCCGTTGGATTGTGTGGTGGGCTTGTGTTGTAGAGATGTTTGTGGATGAGCAGTTGCTGTTTTTGCAGTATTGCTCTTTTTCTGGCTGTACCTTCAGATTTTTCACTTTCTTTAGTTTTTAATCTACTGTTTGAATGTGTTACCTGACTGGTGCGGTTAGCTGTTAATTGTATATACGTATATACATTTATTTTAAAGCTGAAGATATAAACAAACAAGACTTTTTTTTTCCAGCTGGAAATTGTTGCATAACACTGTATCAAACTGTTGCACACAGAACTTGCATTTTTTGGTTTGCTGGCATCTGGATATGCATGTGAAATTAGATTTTTATGTTTACATTAAAATTGTTTGCTGTTCTCTGCTTCGATGTAGTTTCATCCAGAAGTGTTTAGAGCAGAAGCATGTCGACCTGTTTAATATCTCTGCCCTGGTGAAAACGATTAGCGTAAAATGTCATTACTGCCACTGCCAGAGTGTGTGTGTGTGTGTGTGCGGGTGTTTTCTCTTGAGGGCATTTTAACAAATCTTGCAGCTTTTATGTTTGTGACTCCATGATTCATGTGGAGCTTCGAATAGAACAGATGGAAAACCCCGAAAGCAGTTTCATCACACTCTTACGCTGAGAGTTTAAGATTTCCCTCTGTTTGTGTTTCAACAGTGGATGGAGAGAGACTGACAGTTCAATGAGGCTGTGCAATGAACTGGCATGAAATACAAGTAAATGACCATAATTTGTATGTCACATTAAACTGATTTGAGCATGAGGAATATCAAGTATGATATTTAAGAGTGTGGATATACTCATTAGACTAAGATACTGTACTGATCCTCTCCTGTTTTATGATTCTGCTGTGACACCTTATGTGGGATTCCATTAAATATTCAGTGTCATGGATATCTGTCTGTCTGTCTGTCTGTCTGTCTGTCTGTCTGTCTCTCTCTCTCTCTCTCTCTCTCTCTCTCTCTCTCTCTCTCTCTCTCTCTCTCTCTCTCTCTGTTTGTTGAGTCATCTGACAAACAAGCAGCAAGCGCAATTACCTCAGTCCATTATTCACAGATGCTAAACTTAGCAGGGATCAGAGGTAAAACAGATGACAAGAAAAAAAAATATTGTTGAATCCATATATAATATGAGCCATAGTTATTTTTAGAGACGGATCAACACTATTTTAAGGTAACCGCTCAGAAGGAAGTGCATGGATCTCAAAGCTGATATCTGATTGAATCTGATTCATTTTATTTTCAAAGCAATGCCAAATCGGCCTCTGATCACTTTGTTGGTATAAGGCTCAGCACATGGGGAAAATGTTTGAGCAGTGATTTATATGTCATATTGTAACCAACAGATGTAGCCTTATTTTAGACTGGGGAGGAATTATGAAAGAAACTAAAGTGTGTTCACAGCTGATGATTCATTAGCTGAAAAGTACATCATGATTCCCTGATAAATGTTTGATTCTGGTTGAAGAAGTAGAAATCCTCTTGTGATTCTAGAATTGATCTGCTGTGATTGGCTTAACCTATGAAGGACTCTTATCTAATTAACACATAAAAAGGGGGTCTGAGCCATGATGTTTAAATTGAAAATTTGACCCTCCTCTCAGGAAAGATAAATTTGAAGCCCAGTTTGTCTGTTTGTTTGTTTTTTAGAGAATTACAAATCAGTTTATACAAATGTATCTGGCATAGCCTGTTAAGATATTTCATATTTAACAGCAGATTAAAGTTTTAATCTCAAGAAGATAGTGATGCTGGTAAATACTTGTGTCATTGTGCGAGAACTTGAACTAATAGAGTAAAACCCTTCTGTCCTCTATAATTAAGACCCTGTTTTCCTTCCCCGTGGCCTTCAATGCTCTTCTGCAGCTGGGGGTGAAAATTACAGCCCTTCCTCGCTCTCCTGCACAGCTCTCTTATTCTAACTCTCATACAAATGAGATGCCATCTGTTGCCATCACAACTGATGGACTTTTAAGAAAAAAATCCGATGCCACTATAATGCATTAAATTGGTCATTCTTGCTTATTTTTGGCCAAATCTGTAAATATAAATGACGGGATTAACTGGATTTGATTTCTAATGAATGAAAACAGCAGAATGTTTGTGAGCCATGGCTCCAACAGCTCATAGGATATTGATGCAGAAGAATCGCACACATATGGTGAGACTAATTAAATAATGATGGGAATTAATCAGACCAACAACCTTGACAAAACAGAATGTGATGTGTTTTAAAAGATATTTACAATATACAAAGGATGCTCCAAACAGTGTCAGTTGCAGATGGTCTGTCACCCTTTTATGTAGCCTATAGTAAAATCATCTGTATGTGTGTATATGTATATATTATATATATATATTTTTGGTTTTTAAACCATTAATTAACAGATTCTGCTTTTGTGCTGGCATATCGGTAGATTAAAAAATATATTGACCCTTTTACAGTCAATTTGTTTTCTGACTTTATCCAAACATTTTGTTTAACCGCGTACAGTCTGTTCTGTATAGCTTTTGGGAGCCGAACGTCAACGTCTAAAGGAGGCTACTTTTTAAACAACACTTGAAATATATGGCTACATGTGTTAAAAAGTGAAAATGACATTTTATTAAGGAATATTTTGATTTTATCGTTGTAACGGAAACTACTGTTGCTATCCTTAGGCAAATGCGAATTCTATTCACGACTAGCAAATTCATCCTGCTTTAAAGAGCTTAAACATTTAAAGCGACAATTAACTGCTTGGGCTGTAAATAGAGCTTTTTCGTAGGCCTACGTTGGTGTGGATAGGCTAATAGTCATCTTTGTAGCCAAGTTATGAATGGCCTTATAGCCTTACCCCACACACTTAGGCTACTAATTTATAATCTAACTTCTGTGCGTTCTTGACCCTGCGTCCCTATTTGTATAGGCCTAAATAGAATAGGCTACATCCTTTTTGACATCCCAAATTTATGTTTTTAATTCCTCCAATGCTTAAGCCTTAATTGGGGAGGCAGATCCTCCCCAAATCACCCATTAAGTGCACAGATAGCCTAATTCATTCCAGAAATAGAAATAAACAGTAACACTAACTGTTAACACGGTTATTTTTAGACTCACAATTTATGGATGAATGTGAAGATAAGAATAGAGGTGACAACAGTCAGCCAGTCTACTCAGGAAAAAAAAAATCCCTTCTAAAATAAGGATGGGAATGAATCAGATCTGAACTCCTCCCTTAGTCGGTTCTGATTGGCTAACCCACAACCTGACAGCCAGATCAGTCAGTCTGCTGGAGCTGGACTATACTGACTAATGAAGTGAGTTCATCTCGAGCGGACCGCTTCTCACTATGCACTATACAAACTGATGGAAAGTCGATAAACGCGTACGATATTGTAGCCTACATTCTCAGGGCATTCGGCAGTTCACAACTTCCATCTCAACTCAACATGTAGAGCGCGCTGGCATCCAGACGTAGGCTACCCGACAGACTGGTGCTGTTTAACTGTTATTATCAACATGATTCCGCCAGCGAACATGATTCAGGAGGACACGATGGGCAAGGAGAACGAACGGGAGCTCCGTGAGCCACAGTCCCCCACATCCATCAGCCAACAGGAGTCAAAGGTTTGAAACACACATCTCATAACAACATCAGTCACAGCAAACCGACAGAGATACATGTGTAGCTAGTGCGCAGTTTACGAGTCCTTTCACACTTTTTCTGTCATTACAGAGACCGCGGAGTGTTGTGACATGTTTTTAGCGTCTGTTTTTGACGCTGTGTGTCAAACTTTGTATTCTTAATAATATTCATTCACTCATCTGCTGCAAATGAAAGTAGTTATCTACCACTTATCCTCGTGTTAATTGTGTAAATAAGCGTCAAATAAGAGTGCCGTTAAAAATCTTGTAACACTACTGGGCTCGTGTTAACAATGGACGTTTTAAACTTTGTGCATGGATTTATTATGGTAGGCTACTTACATTTAATTGTTCAGATAATTATTATGTCACCCCCATACCTCGCTCGCCCTCGTTTTATTTGAAACATTTTAATTCAAAGCAATAGCAAAACAAATAGTAGGCTAACAAATGCTAAGATGATACAGTTTTGCAATTTAACATCCATTAACATGATCGCAAATATGAAGTCATATTAAATTTCACACAGAGTAATTTTCTTCATTTTCTCCCCTGTCTATAAAGTCAACTGATACAGCTCACCATGGCTGCATCCGAGATCGCATAGCCTACTTTCCTACAATAGTAGTAGGCGAAAAACAGTAGCCTATAGGCTATGTGACAAAATAAGTATGTCCGAATTCACAGTAATCATAAAAGAGTAGTCAAAAGGTACCTGGACTACTTCCTGTGAGATTCAAAAGTGGGCATATGATGAACAGAACACTTTATACTATCCCATGAGGCCACAGGAGAGGATTTGTGAATGGCAGTGAAGCGATGTACCTGATGCTGGTAGGTCACTTGATAATGACAGCATGGCGAATGTAGTAAATCCAGATTACACCCATACTACACACACTCATACTATATAGAACGTACTTTTTTTAGCGGTAATGATGTAATTGTTCATACTCGAGAGTCAGTGTGATTTTGGACAGAGCCCATGTGCTACGTTACGACATTCCTCAGTCTCTCATACAGTCAATTTTTGGTGAGGTGTTCACCTATCCTATGAAAGAAGAATAAATATTTGATTCAAATGATATATGATAATTTTTTATATTATTAATATTTAGCATGCCGATTTGTGTCTATCTACCAATAACATTGTGCACATCTCTAAAATAATTCTAATTATTAAACAACCCTATACTCTGGCAACATCCGTTATGATATTGTTTGTATGCAGAAGTTAAAGTTAGCTTATCAAGGGGAATTTGTGATACGGCTGTATTTTCTGCATACGGCTTGTATTATCTTGATGTCTATCTGTTGTGTATGATTTAAGATGAGGTTGTAGTTGATGGTATTTTGTCACATTGGCCCTGAGTTTGAGCTTATCTGTTTTTCTGGGTCATCTGTGGCCCTGAGTTCTACATTCAGCCCGGAAATGTTGGACGGGTCACTGTGCTTTTAAAGCTCAATGCCAGTTGGGAATTATGCATATTTATTGTCTTTGAATCAGTAGAGATAAATAAAGAAAGCACAACTGTCTTTCATGACTTATGTATAGTTATTCAGAAACTGATTTATTATTTAGATTACTTTGTGTCATTTCCCTTCGCTCCATAAATGCTGTTTGAGCGTCTGAGTGTGAATGTTTTAAATTTGTACATTAATCACTGAATTATGGAGTTAAATGTTTTCTTCACTGAAGAGTCTTGAGGGATTTGTATTTACTGTAGTACATACAGTGCTGTTACTTTGAGCACTTACAATTTTATGTTATTTACTGAAGTCCTGTTGAAGTGTTTTAAAAGGGAAATTATTTTTGAAATAGAAACAATCTGAAACCACATTATATTTGATTTATGACTAAAGGCTAGTTTTCATATCAGTTCTTTTGGGCGTCCATTTAAAATACACTCAAGAATATGTCAAATCAAGAATGAAATAGTCTGCTAAAGGAATATGACTCATTAGTGGTTAATGGGAGACTTTAATGCAAAATTAAACCATAAATTCATAACTTAATCTCCAGTGCTGATTGCATTTCTCAGATTTCCAAGAAGCAAAAGGCTTTTAGTGAGAAGTGAGACCATCCTACAGGGTTTTACATCCCTTGTTTGAACCCGGTTATAGAGTAATAATGACTTCTAGAGGGGAAATTGGGCATAATAATCAGAACATTTCTTCAGTATCAGGGCTTTTATTTGCTAATCTATCAAGCATCTCATCTGAATTACTGAACCAAGATCTGGTTATTTCTGTTCCTATTAACATATTCATGAGCACATGGCACCTTGAATGGATCCAGGAACACCTTTTATGACTAAAACCCTTTTATGATAATAAGTGAATTATAATCTCTATGTGTTTTTTTGTTCTCTACTTTGTGTCTGATTGCTTTGTGTTTGATAAGATGAAAATGTATTATAAAGCAGGCCTAAAAAAAAAAAAAGTCCTTCCTTTGCTAAATACCATAATCTTGTTCCAAAAAATACCTGACTTCCACCTTAATCAGCTCCATCTTTCATAGTTGTCCTTCGGGGTAGAGCAGGACAAGCATTTGGTGCTGACAGCACCTGAATTAATTCCTAATAGATGTTGAAGTTTCGTGATTTTCTTGAAGTACTGGCCATTATTTTTGGAAGAGACACATTCATTGCATTTTAAATTCAAAACTTCATATTCTATGTGAAATTTCTTTAAATTATCTGGTTGCTCTAATGATCATATTTTAGGTCACATTTCCCTCAATAACCATTTTAATCAGTGCAAAAGACTGGGGTAATCATCGATTGACATTTATAATACTACTTAATTTCTAATATGTGAGGAACCTAGCCTCAAAACTTGAAATAAAGACATGTACATTTGTCACCAGCAGTAGTCTCAGGCATCATTGATTCCCCCCCCCGTTTCATTAATTTTATTGCAACTGCCAGGCAAAGTGTAACTTGAACTAAGGCAATGGTTTTCTTGATAGCCTGTTGTTTACAGTTTGTTCTGTCACAAAGCAAGTGCCTTGTAAATGTCAGGAAGTACTTATAACAATTTTTTTGCCAACAGCACTTGCACTTTTATAATTGATTTGATGCAATCTACAGGGATTTCAGGTGGAAAAGCTGCTTGTAATTGAAATTGTCTATAATTTGACAGTGAACTATGAGCGATGATGGACAGAAGCGGCAAGTCGGGACTGGGGTCTAATCGATCTATCACTCTCTGTTGGGCATTAGAGATCAATAGGTCACCATCATCATCATACACAGGCATGAAGCTCACTAAACACACTGCACTGATTCTCTATTCTGATTGGTGGAAACATAACGTCAGAGGATTGTCCAAATGGGCCATATCTCTCTCTCTCACACACATTTACATACATACATACATACATATAAACAAACATACACACTTAGGGTTCAGCAATAACTGTTATGCGGATGACACCCAACTTTACCTGTCTGCCAAACCAACTGGTTCTTTTCCTCCACCTTCTCTGTCCAGCTGTTTAGCTGAAATTAAAGATGGTCTTTCAGCTAACTTCTTGAAGCTAAATGGCAACAAAACTGAGGCTTTACTTGTTGGCACTAGATCTATTGTATCTAAATCTAATTGTCTTTCTTTGTACATTGACAATACTGCAATCTGTCCTTCCTCACAGGTTAAAAGTTTGGGTGTCATCATGGATAGCTCACTATCCTGTGAAGCTCAAATGAAAAATGTCACGCGGATTGCATACTTCCACTTGCGAAATATTAACCGTCTCCGTCCCTTTCTTTCTAATAATAATACTGCAGTTCTTATTCACGCACTAGTCACTTCACGTATAGACTACTGTAATGCTCTTCTCACAGGTGTTCCCTCCAAATTGCTACATAAGCTTTAGTTGGTTCAGAATTCTGCAGCTCGTGTTCTTTCTAGAAGAGCACACCTTCTACTGAGCACATTTCTCCAGTTCTTGAGCAATTGCACTGGCTTCCAGTAAAGTAATTGAATTCAAGATCTTGCTACTTACTTATAAGGCACTTCATAATCTTGCACCCCAATACCTTACTCAACTCCTCCATGTTTACACTCCTTCACGTGCTCTCAGATCTTCATCTTACCTCGGATTAGACTAACTACTCTAAACAATGCTGGGTTGATTTAACCCAAATTTAGGTAAAATATGGACAAACCCAAATGTTGGGTTAAAAATGTAATTTCAAATTTTAACCCAACTTCAACTTTCACTTTCAACTGTACATTTTTTAATTGCATTTTTAACCCAACATTTGGGTTTGTCCATATTTGACCCAAATTTGGGTTGAAACAACCCAGCATTTTTTAGAGTGTGGGTGCCAGATCTTTTAGTTATGCTTCCCCCCGCCAACGGAACTCTCTTCCCCTTGATGTTCGCAATAGCGATTGCTTGTTGACTTGTCTTAAGACATATCTTTTTATACAGGCTTTTTTATAACATGTTTTATTGAGTCTTTACTGCACTTTATCTGTATAAGCAGCTTGTTTGTTGTGTGTTTTGTATTATGCAGTGACCTGTATATTGCTTGTGAGGTGACCTTGGGTGTTATGAAAGCCGCCATTAAATAAAATGCATTATTATTATTAATAAGGATGGCCTGATGGCAAAGGGCTTTTTTTCTTTGAGCCAGCAGATAGAACAATCACTCGCTTGATCATTAGTTCTGTTGATCTTGTACTGTACATGTGTTTTTATGCCTCGCAAAATAAACAGAAAGCTTTCTGATGGAATTGCTCTCTGTTCTGGAATTGCAGAATTGACTTCAAAGCATCAGTTAAAAACCAAAAATTATAAACCAGTCATATAATAATTTGCATTATATGTCATTGTTTTCCAGCAAACGTGTTTGTGAATGTAAAGCTATATTGGAGCTATAAATTATGTGCAGTATAATTTCAGTTATTACTGCAAATAAAATAAAAAAGTGATTTTTTTTTTGTGGAAAACTTTTTTAATAAGTATACATTTTTGCCACATAAAATTCTTTGCTAATATTAAAATTATTTTAATCATTTTAATTTTTATATATATATATATATATATATATATATATATATATATATATATATATATATATACATACAACAAAAAAAGAAATGTCCTTTTTCAGTATACTGTATTTTAAAGATAATTATGTAAAATCCAAATACGTTTTACAGATCTTTATTGGAAAGGGTTTACCCTTTCCTTTACCCTTAATGTTTCAATGAACAAAAGCATGTTTTTTATGCTTGTTCAATGAAACATTAACAATTATTACACATGCACCTGTGGAACAGTCCTGAAGACACTAACAGTTTACAGGCAGTAGACAATTAAGGTCACAGTTCCAATAACTTAGGACACTAAAGAGAGCTTTTTACTGACTCTGAAAAACATCAGAAGAAAGATGCCCAGGGTCTCTGATCACCTGCTTGAACATGACATAGACCTGATGTAGGAAGACATGAGGACTGCAGATGTAGCCAGAACAATAAACTGCACTGTCCGTAATGTTAGACTCCTTAGACAGTGCTACAGGAAAGACAGCTGATTGTCCTTGCAGTGCCAAACCACATGTATCCATGTATATCCATATGTTCCCCCAGACATGTTTGAAAACTTGCAAGTGCCTTGGTGGAAGAGTGGCGTAACATCTCACAGTAAGAACTGACAAATCTGCTGCAGTCCATGAGGATGAGATGCTCTGTAGAGCTGATGAGATGCTCCGTCTCGTCCTTCGGATGAGACGTTAAACCGAGGTCCTTGACTCTCTGTGGTCACAACAAATCCCAGGATGTCCTTCGAAAAAGAGTAGGGGTGTAACCCCGGCATCCTGGCCAAATTTGCCCCTTGGCCTGTGTCCATCATGGCCTCCTAATCATCCCCATATACTAATTGGCTTCATCACCCTGTCTCCTCTCCACCAGTAAGCTGGTGTGTGGTGGGCGTTCTGGCGCACTATGGCTGCCGTCGCATCATCCAGGTGGATGCTGCCCATTGGTGGTGGTTGAGGAGATTCCCCCTTCCATATGTGAAGCGCTTTGAGGTCCCAGAAAAAGCGCTATATAAATGTAACGAATTATTATTATTATTATTATTAAACAGCTGGTGCCACACCAGACACTGAATGCTACTTTTGATATTGACCCGCTCTGGTCAGGGACTCATTATTCCATTTCTGTTTGTCAAATGTCTGTGAAATTTCAGTTTATGTCTCATTTGTTGATTTTTTTATTTATTTTTACAATCAATATTAAAAAATTTGCTGAAAAAAGCAGTTGAAAGTGAGAGGAGTGTGTATATATATTTATATATCTCAAGTACAAAACCATAAAATCCTTATTCTTGAACACTGCACAGATGCACCATAGGCATATATATATATATATATATATGTGTCAACCACTAATCTAAAATATATATATATAAAATATTTTTGTTGTTATTTTTTTTACTGGCAGATTTTTAGTCACAATGAAATAAAAATTGACACTTATATTTTTTACGGAATGTTGCAGGGCTTATTAGAAATGATTTATCAGTACATATATATATATATATTAATTCATATGCTCTTGTAACCTTTAATTAGAAAAACCTCCCCTCCCTCTCGCTGGCAAATTGCTGCAAACTGGCACACGGATCTTTGTCCATATAGTTAGCAATGCTCAACTTCCACGATCCAATCAAATCCCTCCCTACATTTTTCTCATTCCAGAAGCCGTTTCACTCAGATATACATCACAATAGGGAAGAAAAGACTATCGTACCTTCCATTTCATGCCGACTTTAAACTAATCCTAAAGTCTCCCCAATCCTAAATATGTGGTTATAGCCTTACATTTAAAAATATGGTTACTTGTGTCCCATTTATCACTTTGTTCATAAATTGGTAATATTTGAGGAGTTATTGAAAGTAAAGCTAAAAACAGATTTGTTAAGTCTGTTAAGATGTATGACTACTCTTGTCTAACCTTTACTGTTGGGTACTTTTCATTTTTATTCAGATTTGAATTGCGTTTCCTGTGCATAGTACTTAGCAAGTAGTGCAGGTTGGTGTGTCCTAGAGGACATTTTTAGTAGGCAAAGATAATCCTGGTGGGTGTTGTCAGCTAATTTAGAGGGCTGTCAGTGTATGACTGATATCATGGGTAATGTGCTCCGCACAAAGAGGTTACGTACCAAGAGACATGACAGCCCATCTTTCTCTACTTTGTCTTTTTTCATTTTTTCCTTTAAGCTCAGTGAGTTACATGAACATAAATAATCTGTAATTTTAGCCTTGTTGAGGTTGGGTTAACATATGATGTCTGGAGAGATCATATAATCATCTGGAGGTTGTTTCAGGGAGAATGCCCTCATTTGACACCTGCCAAGAATCAACAATTACCCACTCACAGAGTTTAATGTTTTGGGGGCTGTTTACGCCATATGGAGTTTAGCATTTCTCTAAATCAGATGCTAAAAGGTGCTTTTCTTTTTTCTACTCTGTTTTGTGTTTATTTCAGTTGCAGAGGCTTAAGCGTTCACTGTCCTTCAAGACCAAGAGTCTTCGCAGCAAAAGCGCTGATAATTTTTTCCAACGGCCGATCGAGGATGTGAAGTTTCAAACCGAACTGCTCTCGGATGTCAGCAGCAGCACAGGTCATCTGAGCACCATCGGTATGTCCGTCTCAGCCTCCCCAGCGATGTCCCTTCCTCCACCACCCCCTCCGCTGCCCACCGTCATCCCGGGCAACCTACCCATCACAATCTGTTCTCCATCCCGTGCCCCCCGCCAGACGGACTCCAATGCACACACCTTTCTAGAGCACATCTTCAAGAAGCCACAATTCTGTGACATCTGCAACCACATGATTGTAGGTAAGAGGATGTGTTTTATCTTTATATACCGATGACAGGCTCAAGAGTCTCATTAAACAGGAAACGCACAAACAAAGCTGTGCTTGTTTAGAAAGAGGAGCATATTTTGATCCCTAACATAATGATTTTAGATTAGACGACTGAACTGATAAACCAGAATATTGCATTACCCATCTGTTGTCTGGCCACCAGACACTAATGTTTTGTTACTTTGGATGACGCCAACACACAGTGATTTGGCCATTTAGAGAACAGTGAACAATGATAGAGTGGCACAACATAATGAGTTAAAGACTCCATGAGATACAAATTGACTTTGTGTGTCTATTAGTCATTGTCTAATAGCTTTAAGGTCATATGTGAGTGCTCTTTTGAAAGCTTCAAATCATGTAGCACCGTTCAAAGGTTTAGGGTCAGTAAGATTTTTTTTTAATGCTTTTGAAAAAAAGTCTCTTGCTCACCAAGGCTACATTTATTTTAAAAAATACAGTGAAAACAGTATTATTGTGAAATATTGTTATAATTTACAATGACTGTTTTCTGTGTTAATATATTTAAAAATTTAGCAAAACCAAATTTTCAGCAGCCATTACTCCAGTCTTCATGATCCTTCAGAAATTATTCAGATATTCTGATTTGGTGCTTAAGAATTTTTTATTTATAATTATTATTAGTATTATTATTATCAATGTTGAAAACAGTTATGCTGCTTAATATTTTTTGTGGTAACAAAATAAATTTTTTCAGGATTCTTTGAGGAATATGAAGTTATTTGTATTTATTTAGTATTTATTTGAACTTTTTTTTCTAGTATTTATTTGAACTAATTTAAACTAGAACTGTGTAAATGTCTTTACTGTCACTTTTGACCAGTTTAATACATCCTTGCTGAATTAAAATATTTATTTAAAAAAATCTTCATGATTCCAAACTTATAAGTATTATATTATTGCAAAACATGTTTATGCAGCGCTGTGGCTATTTAAACAAAAAGTTTAAATCCCACCCAAATATCTTGGTTTAATAGAAGTTCATCAAAATAGGACAGAGAAGTGGCTTCATACGAGGTCTTTAAGGCTCTCAACTCTTTCCTAATTAAGCCAATGTGTTTTTACTTTTTTGTCTCCAAATTGTATTTTGACTTTAAGGGCAGTAAGACAAAATTAAGTCACATTGAGGTGTTTTACAGCCAATTCAAAGTTTCATGCCCCATATTTATGCACCTGTCCAAACTGGATTTGCTTGTCTATATCATGTAAATAACTTAGTTGATTCAGTTTTAAACATTGAGGTGGTTTTAAAAGGGGTCATATGAAAACTTGGGGCTTCAAGTTGTACATGTACATGCACTTTTTCAAGTTGATCGTACTGAAATGTGTGTTGGCAGTGCCTGTACACTAGGGCTGACTTCTAATAGTCGAGGATTCGACGATTCGATTCGGAGAGGTCTGATTCGACTATGAACCTCATAGTCGAATAGTAGGCAAGTGTTATGAGGGGTGTGACGTTATTATATAACCGTGAGACCGACGGTTATAGGTGAACACCGTCATTAGAACTCTATAACCGCCAAAACCGTGCTATTAAAATATTTTTTACAAACATTTTTTATCATAGAGAATGTTTAAATACTAATATCATCTTACGAGGGAAACGGAGGCGGAGTTAGTGGTGCGATCGGAGGCTGAGTGCTGGAGATGATTCGGGAGAGGTCTGTGCACCTTTACCGATCAGAGCGCGCGCTGACACGGAGTAAAGCCTTGTTTAACTCGACACCTCCGCACGAGCGCGAAGGTGCGGACGGCAAAAAAATGACGCGTTGGGTACGCAAGACCCCATTTCGCTTGGCTGTGTGCACGGCTTTTTTTGTAACAGCGCGCGCGACGCCGCATCCGAGGATGAACGACTAAAAGCCGAATCTGCTCGAGCATGTAGGCTACGTCTCAACGCACCGGCACGCAGTTTGCGCGTCTAAATTGCAAAGTTCATTGCAAAGTTTTTTTGTTAAGGTTTTGTTTACTGTGTGTGATTTATTTAAAACAAAGCACATTCATTGCAACGTCTTTTTTTGTGTTAAGGATTCATTTAATGGAAAGCACATTCACTTCTAGTTGTCTTGCTGTTCATTTTAAATAAACGTAGAGCGAGTTGTCCTATAACAGACGAACAGTTATTCAACCGAACGTCTAGCTGCTATCTAAAAAAAAAAAAAAAAGCTTCGTTCGACTATCAGTCAACTACTGCAAAATCTAACGAATCAGATTCGACTATGAAAATCCTTAGTCGAAAACAGCCCTACTGTACACAACCATCATATAATGATAAAAATCTATCCAGTGTTTTTGTTTTAATCTCCTCCTTATATGTTTTCCCCTGCCTCAAATTGAGCCGTTCGATTTTGTGACGTCATTAAATCGGACGCCCCTCCCACGATTGTTGATTGACAGCAGCGTTTCAACACAGACCAGCCCTGAGCGAGCTGTCATCATAGCCCGGCATTGTTGATACGCTGGAGCAGAATGGCGTCTAAGCGATTGTGGTGTTCTGTTCTTGGGTGTAATAACGAACACAGTCATTTTGATGTTCCTAAATCCGAATCGCTGAAGACACAGTGGCTGAGTTTTGTTTTCGAAGGGAATATTCCCCACGAGCAACGTCAATGCTCTCATGTTTGCGCGAATCATTTCTCACCAGACTGCTTTATAAACGAGGGTCAGTATAAAGCTGGTTTTGCTAAGAAGCTGCTCCTGAAAAAAGAATCGGTACCAACTATTCATGTTCCTGCTGCACCTCCAGAAGAAGTGAGTGTAAAATTGTATTAACCTTTATATTAATCTTTGCAAATCGCTTGCACGCTTCACGATGAATGCGGCTAAGGTTTACACTCAGGGTACATTACGCCGTGTTTTCTATGTACGACGTTCTCAATATAATTCATAATCCCACGTTTATAATGAACAATGCGTTATGGTTATTGTGTTATTACAAACTGAGTACGTATACATCAGTAAACACATTGCGTTCGTTCATCTCACTAAGTTACTCTAACGTTACCCTGCCAGTACATACAAAGATAGATCAAAGTGACATTACGTTAACCAACCATTCAGAAACTTCCTGTTCGAGCCTTAATTGTCGAACTACTTTGCGGCCGTCATCTTGTTCCGGGTCCGACTCCGGTTCAAACTGATACGGTTGCACAGATGTGTCCTCAGAGACTCCCGCTGCAATTCTTTCTCCAAAATATACCCTAAACTGTTGTCAAGGCAACACTCCACGTGCTTTGTGTCAAAACCATAGCGTCAAAACGCCAAGATTGTCCTCACTGCAGAACACGAAATCCAGGGGGAGGAGTTGGATCCAGATCCAACTCCTCCCACCTTACATATACCTAAACCTACCCATCTCCGCCCCCTGATCCCTAACCCCACCCCTAATCCTACCCATCTCTGCCCCCTGATCCCTAACCCCACCCCTAATCCTACCCATCTCCACCCCCTGATCCCTAACCCCACCCCTTAGATCTGGATCCAACTCCGCCCCCTGGATCTCGTGCACTGCAATGAGGTGTGACTGAAGCTCATTATCATTTAAAGGCATATGCACTGAAACGGCGTGCTGAAAACAGAGCTGTTTTTGACCAGGTAAAATGAGTGTTTTCTTACAATACTAATGAGAATTTTTAATTAAAGTATATTACAAACTTTTCATTTAGACCCTAAAGAATCAAATTAACTTGTATGAAAATGGCAATATATGACCCCTTTAAGATAAAGATCTGTACTTGTGTGTGGTGTTTTAAAGCATATGTGCTCAGCTAAGCCTGCATTAGGGTATTTGTGGGTTTATCCTAATAGAAGGCAACAAGGTTTTGGCTCAGCTTTCAATTTGTGTGTCTGTGTGTGTGTGGTGAGGCGGACAGATGTCTACCTGTTTGAAAAGAAATGGTTATTTATTCCACTGCACAACGGGTGAACAGAACACACCATACACACATTTTTTGAATATATTTATTTATTAAATATGTATATAACACACACACACACACACACACACACACACACACACACACACATTCACACACACACACACACACACACATATATATATATATAAATAGTATATTTGAATACATATTAAATAGTGTTTTTGTATGTGAATGTGCAGTGTGTATGCGAGAGAGAGAGGACAAGTGTGTCTTGTCTGGTTGGCATATGGATCTGTCAGGCCTCATCACTTCTTTAGCTCACTAACACTCACTCAGAAGAGCACACTAATGAGGGCAGGGCTCCAAATCCTGTCCTGGCACATCCTCATGAAAAGGACATCAAGAGGCCAAATGATGCATTTTAAATCTTTGTAGTAAATGTAGAGGAACCTAAGCTTGCACAGCACTAGATGAGGGATGATCTGTCAGTTCATTATCCCACAGCATTCTGATTACTGCCATGCAGGAAGGTGAATTTTATGAAATCTCACCAGCTGTTTGGAAAAAATAGCGAGTGGAGGGTATAGTTCTTCTGCTTGTGTGTCAAGTCTCAATTTCCTTCTGTGACTAATGGGTCATTACTAAATAACTAACCGTGAAATCTCCACATGTGGATCGTATCAGGATACCTGTGTACTTGTTTGACCCAAATCTCTACAGGTTGATTAAATATGAGCCCACATGTCACTGACCCAAATCTCAGCATTTGGATCAGATATCAGGACACTGCAATTAAGTGTGTGTGTGTGTGTGGTGTGTGTGTGTGTGGGTCTGTCATTAACTTGGACCACTTTTGTGACACAGTTTTTAGTTTTTGCCATCATCATCATCATAATATTTTATTATTAGCTTTGTGTAGGTTTCATTGTTTTACTATATATTTTTTTTCTGTTTTATTGATTTTGATCTCAGACCCAGACTTTCAATCTTGAAAATCCTTCATAAAATATGAATTATTTAGTTTAACAGTGAAATAAACATAAACCATTTCAATATTTATTTTGTGAAAATTGTTTATATAAACTTTTTTTTAAAAATCACACCACCACCAACAATTTTGCCCCTTTTTAGTTAGGGGATTCATTTAGTTTCATTTCATTGGGGATCATTTCCAATTAAGCTGTAATTTTTGGTCAATTATTCAAAAAAGTATTTTACAAAAATAAATGACATTCTGGTTGCATATATTTTCACTGTTGGGCATTGTTAGTAGACATATTAAGTAGTGTGGCTGTGCACATGTGTCTTTTCTAAAAGGCCAAATTGGAAGAAACACCCACTCAGCTCCGTGGGTAAAGAAATGCTTTAATGGTCTGCTGTGCAGCTGTAAAGATATTTACTGACCATAAACTGATTGCGTATTTCTTTCAGAACAAGATTTTAACAAGTGTGTTCTGTGTTAATAATTATTGAGTTAATAAGGTATTGAGTTTATTGCAAAATGTCAGTCAGCAATTTACAAAGCAGTTTCTGGATCGGAGAGCAACACGTTTTTCATGGTGATGTTCTCTCATGTTTGGATGGAGCTGAGGCATCTATTTCTGAAGACACAGAAACCATGCTGTATATCAAAGTATAAAAGGAGGCTTAGCATATTGGAAATATGGTTGGCTGTCTGTGTGGGTGGATTCCCATCCCATTGGGCAACTGATGACATTAACAATATTGAAATTAAGTCCACATAACATCTCATGCAGCTTTTGCAAGTGTTGTTGAATGATGAAATCATTTTCAAGTTCTAAAATAAAGAGAAAACATTTAACGACTTTCGAAAAAACATTCTATTATCCCTTTTTCAGGCATTTTATTGAAGCCTGGCCTGAACTAGATCTCACTTTAAAAAGTGTTTCTAGGCGGTTTACATTATGAAGAATTTCATGATAATTGTTCTGCCCAGTATTATCTCTCGACCCCAGAAAAAAATACTCAACACATAAATACCCAACCATTAAACACATTAAAGATGCAATAAAGATTTTTTTTCCGAGGCTGAAGTGATCAGCTCAGGGATGCATGAGAGAATCTGGACCGAGCATGTGATGTTTGATTAATCGATGGATGGCTGGAAGCAGCTTGTTGTAGCAGACAGGGGCAAATGAGCCCTGTGACAGTGTCATTCTCACAACAGCAGGACCTGATGTTTTCACCCTATTAATCATTTCACATTCAGATTTCTTTATAACAAAATTTTCAGTTATCGTTTTAAATCTTAAAGCCACTCAAAACAAGAAAATAGTTTTTTTCTACTCTTTGATCTTGTGTAGTTAAATGAATAGTTCACCTAAAAAAATGAGAATTGTTATCATTTTTTTTTTTGATTTCATTTTATCTGCCAAACACAAAAGATGTTTCAGTGTTTTCCCCCCGATACAATAAAAGTCATTGTGGTCAAATATTCTTTTGGACCCCATTGACTTTCATTGTTTGGACAAAAAACTGATTATTTTTTGTACAAAATTCTCCTCTTCTGTTCCACAGAGGAAAGAAAGTCATACAGGTTTGAAACGACATGAGGGTGAGTAAATGATGACAGGATATTCATTTTTTGGTGAACTAGTGCTTTAAGGCTATTACATTGCGTCGTTCAGAGAGACTTTTTTTTTTTTAAAAATCAACATATACGAACCTCGAATGAGCTGTAAATAATGTCATGTTGACCTATATGCCCACAATTTTATTTTTTATGATACATGGAATAATTGTAATGCAAGAGGGATTCTCTCCTGTAATTTTTTTTTTTAGCTTGCCAAGGGGGAGCAGGCAAGGTGTTCGGTAAGTCTGTTCTGTTTGATGATGAATTGAACTCTTTAGAAACCGAATAAGATAATAAGATAACCCCCTTCATCCTCCCCCCACCCTCTCCCTGCTTCTGTGCTCATAATGACTTGTTCAGCACTCTCAGGAAATGCATATGATGAAGTAGCTCCTCAATGCTTAATAGAATTTTTCACTAGAGCGGTCAATATCAAGCCCCGGGGGATTGAGGGGTTTGTTTTTGAATGTTATTTCTTGTTACTGCCAAAAGAATATAGATTAAATTATTCTGCGTGTGCTGTTATTTTCCAGAGCTTTGCTATGCATGCTGTTATATATATATATATATATATATATATATATATATATATATATATATATATATATATATATATATATATATATATATACTGTAAATGATGGTTTAATTTTTTCTAGTGGTTGAAAGGTACACTATGTAACTTTTGTTGTTGTTTATATAACGAGTGAGTCCATCATGAATCCATTTTCCAAATCATGTTTTTGTCTTGTACTGAATCACTATAGCATGCCTATAATAAGCGTTTCTATTTGGACTATTTTAGATCTGGTAGGACAACCGCTGCAGAGTACCTGAGTGACTCGTCATAAACATAAACTGAGAGAAGTTTATAAACTGAGAGAAGCTACAATGTTTTTCCGCAAGACGCATGCAGTTTTGTTTATTAACTGCTAAAAGTTACATAGTGTATGTACCTTTAAAGTTAATGAAAACAGCTATTGTGTGTGCTGCAGAGATATAGTATACAACTGGAAGAGACTTTTGCCAATAGGTGATTTTATTCTCAAGCTCACTCTTGGGAAGCAGCTGGAAAGACTAATGACTTTAACAAACTTTTTTTTTAGTAATTTGTATTCATTGTCTCACCGCAATAAAATCTGATTAATATGTTTATCCTGCAGAGGCACTTTTTTAATTTCTGTAAGCAATTAGGCCTTATTAATTCTTCATTACCTAAAGATCATCAAAGAAGCATGCATTAAAGTGATTCATAATTTGTGATGGGAACGAGCTGAATTTTTGGGGTAATAAAACATTCAGCACTAGCTGTAATAAATAAGTGTAATTGTAATGGTAATATTTAAATACACAATACCCGGAGTTATCATAATAAGAGGAGTCAGAGGCATTTATGGATTAAAGGATTTTATTATTATTTTATGGCACAAGAGTGTTGTTACTGGAAAAAGCAGAGAATGGATGTTGTAACATGCTGTCCCTTGGTGAATTTATTTAGCATTTTGTTTACATTTTGTATGCAGCTTCAGAGTTTCACTGCTTACACATAATGACTTTTGAGTAGATTTACATTCCCTGCTTTCAAATGAACAAAAATGTTATTTTGATAGCAAGCAAAGCACACATGCATAGCTACTTCTTCCTTCTTCATCCTTCCTCTAAGTCCATCCATAAACCGTCTAAATCAATAAAACCGTGTCTCTAAATACATGTCCTGCGCACCAAGTGTGGTGATATCAAATGCTGAAACTGAGCAAATAGAAGAGCAGGATTAAGGATTCCTGTTAGATTAGAAGAGTGCTGTTGTTTTATTAGATACCTTCTTGTACATGCGTTCTCAAACTTTATGCTTGGCTATTGTTTGTCTTCAGCTGTCTCTGTTCAGCTTAGCAAAAGCATTAACACCTGCATTTTCCAGTAGCACTAATACGTTTGGATTCTGCAAGTGTTTCTGGGACTGTGAAGCCAAAATTTGATGATCGGCTTATAAGGGTTCTTCTTTTTAGGCAAAAGAAATGTAGGCCAGAATGATGACCATCAACCTGAACACTTACAGAATTACACCCCTTAAACCCTTTAATAAGAATATACATACATTTATTTAGAATTAAATATTTAATTGCCAATTAAGAATTAATAGTGGATGGAAAAGAACAAACTGTTAGTCTTGATTATCGAATTTCACAGCAAAACTGCACATGTGGGAATTTCCTACTCTGACCTGTATTTATTGATCACTTTTTGTTTTGCAGTAATAGATCATTGTTTTTTTTTACAAATAGTTGTTCAATATATGTTCAATATGTTTGACTTTTAAACCTGATATTAACTCAATATGACCTCAACTGCTAGGCACCAATGCTAAGCTGGGGCTCCGGTGCAAAGCCTGCAAGATGGGCATCCACCACAAGTGCCTGGATGGAGTTGGACAGCAGAGATGCATGGGGAAATTGGTGAGATATTTTTTACTTTGTGAATCGAGAATTTGTCCCACAGACAGTTTGTTTGTTTTGTTGATATTTGGTTAATCTTGGAAATTAAATGTGGAACTAAGCAAGTATTCAGTGTTCATGTTCATTTGTTGCTCAGGTTGGTCAATGTTTGTTTACCGTACAAAGAGGTGCTGAAACCAGCTTCATACTTATACACAGAACAAATTATAAAACGCAACACTTTTGTTTTTGCCCCAATTTTTCATTAGGTGAACTCAAAGATTTAAGACTTTTTCTATACATAAAATACCTATTTCTCTCAAATATTATTCACAAATCTGTTTAAATCTGTGTTAAGGAGCACTTCTCCTTTGCCGAGATAATCCATCCACCTCACAGGTGTGGCATATCAAGATGCTGATTGGACAGCATGATTATTGCACAGGTGTGCCTTAGGCTGGCCACAATAAAAGGCCACTCTAAAATGTGCAGTTTTATCACACAGCACAATGCCACAGATGTCGCAATTTTTGAGGGAGCGTGCAATTGGCATGCTGACTGCAGGAATGTCCACCAGAGCTGTTGCCCGTGAATTGAAAGTTCATTTCTCTACCATAAGCCGTCTCTCGCGTTTCAGAGAATTTGGCAGTACATCCAACCGGCCTCACAACCGCAGACCACGTGTAACCCCACCAGCCCAGGACCTCCACATCCAGCAAAACCAAACAATTTCTGCACAAACTGTCAGAAACTGTCTCAGGGAAGCTCATCTGCATGCTCGTCGTCCTCATCAGGGTCTTGACCTGACTGCAGTTTGTCATCGTAACTGACTTGAGTGGGCAAATGCTCACACATTCGATGGCGTCTGGCACTTTGGAGAGGTGTTCTCTTCACGGATGAATACCGGTTTTCACTGTACAGGGCAGATGGCAGACAGCGTGTATGGCGTGTGTGTGAGCGGTTTGCTGATGTCAACGTTGTGAATCGAGTGGCCCATGGTGGCGGTGGGGTTATGGTATGGGCAGGCGTATGTTATGGACAACGAACACAGGTGCATTTTATTGATGGCATTTTGAATGCACAGAGATACCGTGACGAGATCCTGAGGCCCATTGTTGTGCCATTCATCCACGACCATCACCTCATGTTGCAGCATGATAATGCACAGCCCCATGTTGCAAGGATCTGTACACAATTCCTGGAAGCTGAAAACATCCCAGTTCTTGCATGGCCAGCATACTCACCATACATGTCACCCATTGAGCATGTTTGGGATGCTCTGGATCGGTGTATACGACAGCATGTTCCAGGTCCTGCCAATATCCAGCAACTTCGCACAGCCATTGAAGAGGAGTGGACCAACATTCCACAGGCCACAATCAACAACCTGATCAACTCTATGCAAAGGAGATGTGTTGCACTGCGTGAGGCAAACTCTTTAGAGTGCACACTTTAGAGTGGCCTTTTATTGTGGCCAGCCTAAGGCACACCTGTGCAATAATCATGCTGTCTAATCAGCATCTTGATATGCCACACCTGTGAGCTGGATGGATTATCTCTGCAAAGGAGAAGTGCTCACTAACACCGATTTAGACAGATTTGTGAACAATATTTGAGAGAAATAGGCCTTTTGTGTACATAGAACAAGTCTTAGATCTTTGACTTCAGCTCATGAAAAATGGGGGCAAAAACAAAAGTGTTGCGTTTATAATTTTGTTCAGTGTAATTTGTAATACCACTTTCTTGTTGTTACTCTCTGCCAGTAGGTGAAGATTTGTGTTTGAGTGTTAAGATATGTTACTCTTGAGAGTGTTATTTTTGGCGATTTGAAGGTGTGATTCATCAGTCTGTCTTTTCCTTCTGTGAATTGCGGCGCGAATATGAATGTTAATGATTCTCTGGTGTGTACTAGAGAAAGTGAGGGAGAGGAAGGATGGGATAGTTGATACGGAATATCAAGATGCATCTATCATGTAAACACCTCTGTGCTTTACTCGGGGGACCCACAAGTCACGACTCTTATGGGAAATTCACACGCCCCCCACACACAGGAAAAAAATGGCAAGAAGGAAAAAAGTGCTAAAATTTCCATCGGTTTTCCCATGGTTTCACTGCGATGCCAGAGTGAGTCAGGTTTCTCAGAGAATGAGTGACTGACCATGAGAACAAGTTCACAGCTTTCTCAAAAAAATGATTATCTATTACTATTGTAGAATTTTTTTGTATACTTCTAGGATAAAATCAGTCAAATAACAGATTATATTAATGCTGAGATCAAGATATATTTTTATATATATCTAGAATTTTTACTTTTGAATACACAAAATGCCATTCAAAAAAATCGTACTAATCCCAAATATGTTTTTGATAGAAGGCACTTATGCTCAAGGCATTAATTAAAAATGCAGTAAATCATTAATATTGTAAAATATTATTACAGTATTTTCTGAATAGTAATAGATAATATATTCTAAAATGTAATTAAAATGTAATTTATACCTGTGGTGGGAAGGTTGAATTTTTAGCATCATTGTTCCAGTCTTCAGTGTCACATGATCCTTCAGAAATCATTCTAATATACTGATTTGATGCTCAAGAAACATTTCTTATTATTATCAATGTTGAAAACAGTTGTGCTGCTGCTTAATATTTTTGAGAAGAATGAAAATTTAAAATTTGAAATTGTAAAATAGATAAGTAATTGTCGAATTTAAAGGACTTAATTTATTATTTCAGAAAATATTTATTAAAGGGATCATGAAATTAATTTTAAATTGTGTTTCTGGCGGTTAATTTACAAAGTTTAAATATTTTTCCTTGTCACTTTTTTTTCCCTGTCAAAAACACTCGTTGTGTGACGTATGTTTTGAAGTTTGAAATGGCCAGCGCTGTAATAGAGCTTGATTTCCATGATAAGGGGTGTGTAGAGCGATTTCAAATCCTGGCGTTTCAGAAAGGTGGAAAACAAAAATTCATATTTCAAACTGTGGAGTTAGCTTCGAAGTGTAAATCTTGCACTATGTTTTTATTGTACAGTGACCTCTTATATGTGTAAATATCAGGGACATTTTGATTTTCCATTTCATGGCCCCATTAAATTGTATTATTTATATATCTGCATTATCTCAGCCATTCTGCTATATAGAACGCATTATGAGACATTATTCATCCTAACAAATGTGAAATGTTTTTTTTTACAGTTGTTGAATGACAATTAACCCAGTTACAGTTCACCATAAAACACTACAGAAGCAACTGTTGAAAAGAAAAGAACTTTGGGTAGAATCGCCTTTGACCAATGTTTTTTTATTCTTAGAACCAAGCACTTTTGATTGTAGAACTCTACTATTAGATCATCAACACAGGAAGTGGAAAAAATGCTGTGCTTGAGCTTCAGACGGTTTGGCAGGTTTGAGTCTCCTGATGATGTAGTGGGCTCTCACAGATGGAAAATATAGCTGTGGGGGGTCAGGATTAAAAAGAGGAGAACTCCCCACAGGATTCGTCTCTAATTCCACTTTTGCTCTAAAGTGGACAAGTTGCTATTTTTAAACTCTGTTTATTTCTCTTGGCTTGTCTGATCAGTGAGAACCTTTGAGCTACGAGTGCTTTTCAAAAGAGTGCTTTACTACCAGTCCTGATTGTTAGTCAACCATTAAAACTCCCATTATCTGCAAGTGGTGTAGCTATTGTTGTTCAAATTAATCACATGGACGTTTTTCGGTTAAGTCAATTCTGTATTTTAGGCCACTTCCAGACATGGTGCACTTTTGTTAAATGCATTTATTAGCATCTACTTCAGCACTGAACATGTCTCTTTACATGATTCCCCTAGTGAGCTCTTGGAGAAATGTCATGTAGTAGCACTGGAGAGCTTCTCGCTGGGTTCGAGTGGTACTTAAATGAGTCCCTAACCCCAGTCATGGCTAACAAAGAAGTCTTCAAAGTAGATTTGTGATGCTGATTGCGTAGGTAGACACCATGCCTGGACTAAACACAACAAATACTAATAAGGGCATAGTGAGGTTTCTTTCTTAGGCTATGTGTGTGCCTGGATATAATGCTGTAGGAGCTTGTTCTTTGTTGATTTAAATCACTGAATCTCGGTGTAAATCTTAAAGGCATAAAATCATACAAATACATTTAAAAAACTTTAATCAAATTCATTTGCCTCGATAACAGTCATTTATATAGTGTGTGTGAAAAAGAAGTCGAATGCTATCAGACTGACACTGGATTAATAATTAAAGAGTTCATCTTTTAAGTCATGACAAACCAGCTGTTTTGCCAGACATGAAGCAAATGTACACTGTAATGCAGCAGCTATAAAGAGGGCACTTTGTGTGAGAGAACACTAGGAACATGATTTATCTGTGTATACTAGTGCATATTAGGATTGAGAAATATATAATTAAAATTATACCTCAATATTTTTCAGTTTGATTGATAAGTAATGTATCTCAAAGTTTATGTATAAGCTGCTCTGAAATTGATTAGAGTAACCAAACCATCATTAAATAATCAAGGCATGTTTTCACAAAATTAACACAAGGAAGAATGATATCTAATTATTTTCATTCATATGCACCAATATAACAGTACATAATAAACACCAATATTTATATTACCAATATTATTTATCATCATCTCTATATTAACAGGGTTATAACACACAAATAGAAAATGTATTTGCCCCCCAAAAAAGCATATTAAAATCTTAGTTATTGTGAGTCTCTCTGAAATGTCTTTGGTGTGATTATTTTTTTTTTTACTCATTTCAATCTTAAGAATCAGCTTGAAATGTTGGCATGGTAACTGTTGGAGGCACTTAACATGAGACTAGCAGTGTCAGAAATTAAACAGAGCTCAAGCTAAAATGCCACTGAAGGTATGTGTTTGGTATGTTGTGCTATCTTGCGATTTGTTTACAATTTTATTTGATGTTGGGTTCTTTTTTTCATGATAACAACAACCATTTGTTAACATTAACAATCAATTGTTCAGATTGAGAATAATTGGTGTTTTAAATAATTGATTCAGGTATTTAGCATAAATACATTTTATTTGTTTTGTTTTTACATATCATTATCAAGGTGCCCATGAAAACCAATTCTGGGTATAAAAAGTTAATTAATGAAATAATAAAATCCACTGATCCTGTTTGTTTGATTGCAGCCCAAAGGTTTTCGGAGATATTCTAGCTCCCCTCTGCTGATTCAGGAACAGTTTGGCTGCATTAGGGAGGTTATGCCTATTGGTGAGCAATATGTAGAATTTTATTTATTTAATTTTTTACTTTTGCATAATATGGCATAGCAATCACCAGCTTGAACATCATGTTCACTGACATTTTGTAGCATTTTGACGTATGTTTTGTTTTGTCCTAGCCTGTTGCAGCAGAGTTGACCCGGTGTATGAGACTCTGAGGTTTGGAACCTCTCTGGCACAAAAGAACAAGCGGACCAGTGGATCGGAGTCCCCACAGAGAAACTCTGTAAGAAACATTTGTTTAGTTGTATCCATTTTTCCTCATACATTTTAAAAATACATGATTGTAATTAGTGTTTTTAATTGAAATATTTAAAATATAATTAAAAAATATATATTTAAAAAACATTACTGTAAACACATTTTTTTTACCTACAAAATTTAATCAACTGAATTTTCAAATATTCAAATCATTTTTTGTCTTGGAAGTTATATAAAAAAAATCCAGTCTGATGGGAATGTGACAGTTAGAATGGATGCAACACTTGTGTGGTGTGTGTGTGTGTTTGTGTGTAATGGTTTGACCTACATTTTGAGGCCCCAAAGGGTGTATTCACACTAGGCGATCTGAACCGTGCCCGAGCACGTTTGACCCCCAATGTCTGGATCGTTTGACTAGTGTGACCGCTAGTGTGCCCGGACGTGGTTCGCGGTACTCTATAGTGTGATCGCTAACCGTGATAGAGCACGGGATAGCTACTACTCTTGTGTGCGCTACTGTCATCATTACTACAGAAAGCATCTTCTATTACTATTTGGATGCTACACTTTTATAGGGCAATCGTGCCAGGGCACTGTACAAGACAACCGCGCCTAGTGTGAGTTCACCCTAAGTTTGTGCTAGGCGCTATAACGGTTCAACTGATAGGGTACAACAGAGCTAAAGGCGCATTTTACTTTATTATGATTCTGTGCTAATTTGATCTAATATTTAAAAAAATTATTTAAATGTAGATTTATGTAGCAAATGCTAATCGATTAAAATTGATTATTTTGAGACAAAGGTCTTCTTAATTTTTTTTCAGTTTTGTTCTAGGTAATTAAAGCAACAGTTTTTCAATAATGGAAGAATATGTAAAAGTATGGTATTTGGGGAAAAAGGTGCCCCTGCTGTTGGGGCTCAAAGCACAATAATTAATATGATAATAAATAGCTGCCTGACTTTTCCTTTTGTTGACATGACAGTTAGATTCAAATGGTAAATATCATATATTATGTTGGGTGTCCACCATAGAGATAATCGCCATATTTATAATGAAACCATCATATTTAAAAATATGCCATTAATCGTATCATATAATAAAATATCACATATATTGTTAGTACTGTAAAGATATATTAAATTATTATGGCACCTCTGACAATGCTACTTTTTTTCAACTTAATTTAAATGAACTTATTTTAATGACAGTATATTTATTGAACAAAAAAAAAAAAGAAGAAAATTAGATATTATCAAAACATATTACTTGGCCCACCTTGCCACCTCATACATTTGTAAGATTTTTAAACAAATCAACCCACTTTTATGATTTATTTTCACACAAAATCTGTTGTTTCATCAATGTTCAATTAAAACATATACCAGTATATTTTTTCTGCAATCATACACTATTGGAGTTGTGAATTTTTTCTTAAGGTGTGCCGATGTTCTCTATTCAAATCACTAAATAAACATACTAAAAGATTTTTTTATAAAAAATGTAAAAATGCAGAAAAGGCTAGAAAATGTCATTAGCTCAGTATAAAAACCATTACGCCTATGGAATGTCATAATAATAATTGGTATAACAATTGTGTGTGTGTGTGTGTGTGTGTGAGAGAGAGAGAGAGAGACTGGTGTTTGGGTTAAGATGATCATAGTAAACACCTGCAGACAATCTGCTTCAGTTTAGGCTTTTAAAAAGATTGATAACACATTTTAATGTGCATTTGCTTGGCTGTGAAATGAAGCTCTTGTGGTAAAAAAAAATGGTGATGATTAATTCAATGAAACACTCAAGACAATTCAATTTAGTCTCTTTAAGCTTCTCTTTGCTCAAGTCTTAATTCACAATTATTATTTCCTCTCTATATAAAAAGTGCTTCTTTACTCTTTTATTTAAAGGGCTAGTTCACCCAAAAATGAAACCCTCATGTCATTCCAAATCCGTAAGACTGTCATTTTCGGAAACACAAATGAAGATTTTTTTGATGAAATCTGAGATCTTTCTGTCAGCTGTGACAGCTTTCATTGACAGCTAAAGAGATCGAGTTCATAAAGAGATTGTAAAACTAATTCATATGAATCGAGTGGTTTAGTCCAAAATTTCTAAAGAGACACGATCACTTTATTTGATGAACAGATTGAATTTAGGCTTTTATTCACATATAAACATTCATCAACACATCAGTTGTGGTGAACAGAAGAACCAATGAGGTTCATTCTTGTGTTATGCAGCACGTTTGAACTTCAGAAAGCTTCCGTCTCTTCAGAAAATTTGGACTAAACCGCTCAATTCATATAAATTAGTTTTACAATCTTTTTATGAACTTTTTGAAGTGTCAAAGTGTCAGTTGCATAGCTGCCAATGGAGGGAAAGAAAGCTCTCAAATTTCATCAAAAAGATCTTCATTTGTGTTCCAAAGATGAATGAAAGTCTTACAGGTTTGCAACGATGAGTAGGGTGAGTAACTAATGGCAGAATTTTCATTTTTGGGTGAACTAGCCCTTTAAGACATTATCCCAGGGATCTGTTTCTGTAAACCGCTGTTATAAAACACGAATGTTGTCATCATTATGTTATTTATAGCAACATCTTTGGTCCCTGTCATATGTACTACATTTTATTACTTTATTACATTTATGTCTTTTTTGTACTCAAGTTTTCAAATCTGTGTGTTCATGTGAATGTTTAAACCATCTAATGTGAAGTTACTATGGTTGTAAGGGAATCTAAGCATCCCAGATGTAATGTTTTACTGCTTGAAACAAACACAGACACACACACACCCTGGAAGGAAGTGATGGTCAGCTTCAGATAATGCCTCTCTAAAGCAAATATGACCAAAAAGGGAGAGAATGAGATGAAAGAGAGAGAATAGACAGAAGAAACAACAGGATGAAGCCAGGGTGAAATAAATCAACCATGAAATTATTTGCAAAAGAAAGATAAAAGCATAATTTATATGGTATTTAATAAATCTCTCAATAGTAATGTTAACATTGTCTGTTATGTATTTTAGACATAAAACGTTTAAAGACATATATGTGTATTTGAGAGAATTCATGTGTGTTTACTCGTTTGTTCAGACCAGTGATGTGGCTCCGGTACCAGAGGAAAAGGCGGCCCACTGCAGTCGTGCTCAACTCACCAGGAAACCCAGTGACAATGGTGAGAACATGTTAAAACATTTTTTTATTTCTGGACAATTTGAGCTTTCCTAAATAAGAATAAATCCAACTACAAATGTAAAAAAAAAAACTTAAGATTTACATTTTTTATTTAAAAAATAGTTTTTAAATTCTACAATTTTCTTATCAATTAAATTGTGTTATTCATTTATAAGCATTATTTATTGTCAAACTCTGCCTCAAATCACCCTATGATAAAACTGACCGAGCAGAAACTGCTCATGCATATCTGCTCATCCATCCCACAATCCTCGGTTTAACTCCAAACTGACAGCTTCTGATCAGAGACATTATTCACACTTATTACCTCTTAAGCCTAAATGGCACACCGTTGTTTGGACAGACTGTGATATAGTATCAGAAAGTCTTAAGTTCATCACAGACTGACCCCCAGCTTCAGTGAATTCATGTGTCCACGACTGTGCTTGCTCTGGGAAGAGAGACATATATTTTTTCTCTGGTGCCAGCATGACCGAGAAACTATGATTATTTTTGTCTAATCAGTCCATCACTCTGACCAATGACCCACTATAACAGCATCATTAATTTAACCTCATGAAATAATAAGAAAACAAGCAAGGTTTGTTCTACAATGAGAGTCTTCACTCACTGATTTTTACTGTACTGTGTGTTTTAGTTTTTACATCCTTGGAGAATGGAACTGAACATTTTCATATTGCTGAAAGGAAATCAGAAGAATCATCTGTAAGCATCACAGAATCTCTTTTTACACGTTGTATAATTTTTTTTATATTGTTTATGCCATTGATGGCTGTCAAGTGTCTATGGGTCAGTCAATATAAGCACATACCGTGAGTCTTGGTTACCAAAAAGCTATTGAACTTTTGCATCGTTCTTCTCCACGAAAAAAAAAGATGGAGTTCATTGAGTTGTCATAATAAGGCAAATTAAACAGTAAAACAAATATGAGGTTCACTACTGTTAGAAAGTTTGGGGTCCGTAGAAAGTTTTTTTTTATATTTACCAAGGATGCTCAAAAGTAACAGTAAAGACTTTTCATTGTTACAAAAAAATTGTATTTCAAATAAATGCTGTTCATTTGAACTTTCTATTCATCAAAAAATCAGTTTCCACAAAAATGTTAAGCATTGCAACCGTTTTCAGCATTCATGTTAATAAAATGGTTTATTAAGCACCAAATCCGCATATTAGAATGATTTCTGAAGGATCATGTGACACTTAAGACTGGAGTAATGTTAAAAAAAAAAAGCACATTTGTGCAATTGGACTTTTGACTCAAAACTTAACAGCTACTGAGCTTTAACCATTATGACAACTATCCCTGTTTCTCCCGTTTGTTACTTTCTAAAAATTAACCTTTTTTTCAGCTGTGTAGCACCAGTCTATGTGTAGCACAGACTGGTATGTGTGTGTGTGTGTGTGTGTGTGTGCGCACACTCATACTTAAAATTTCCCAGGAGCTGGTGGAAAAAGTCCAAATTTAAGAAACATATCCACCTTTGCCAATGTCTGCAGCCCAGTAATGTTTGCATTCTGGATTCTGTCTTTATTTAACTCATCCTTCTGGCAATAACGTGTTATTATTAATATTTTCCTTTCATTGCATTACATAAATACAATCTGAAAAATTCAATAAATTCAGGAGTGATTCTATAAACTAGGAATTTAACTCTAAAACATTAAACATTAACAACTAACATTAAACGTTTAATGTCATTTTTTTCACTACACACATTTTCAGTATGATTTGTGATGTAAATTGTAATTATCTCTTTTTGTTTATGTCCCTGTATGTTTAAACTGCAGTCAAACAGAGAACTGAAGAGGGACCCCCTGCAGCTCAATACTTACGTGGCTTTGTTCGGATTCACCCAACAAGACAACCAAGACCTGGAAATGAGGTGAGAAGAAAGCATTTTTTAGATTTCAAAGGAGGCATGAGCTGCTGTTCTATTACTTTCCTATATTTATTTTGTGGTATCAACAACAGCAGTTGCTAGTATTCTACTAACATCTATAATTAACTTCCTTTTCCCTCTCACACACACACACACACACACACACATACTAGAAAAGTGCTGAGTTAATCAGTGTCACAGCTGATTTGAGTCTTTACTCCTGTATCATGCTCTCTCTCTCTCTGTCTCTCTCTCTCTGTCTCTCTCTCTCTCTCTCTCTCTGTCTCTCTGTCTCTCTCTCTCTCTCTCTCTCTCTCTCTCTCTCTCTCTCTCTCTCTCTCTCTCTCTCTCTCTCTCTCTCTCTCTGTCTCTCTCTCTCTCTCTGTCTGTCTCTCTCTCTCTCTCTCTCTGTCTCTCTCTCTCTCTCTCTCTCTCTCTCTCTCTCTCTCTCTCTCTCTCTCTCTCTCTCTCTCTCTCTCTCTCTCTCTCTCTCTCTCTCTCTCTCTCTCTCTCTCTCTCTCTCTCTCTCTCTCTCTCTCTCTCTCTCTCTCATATATATATATATATATTCCCACCCAATATCCTCAACAGGATATGCAATTGGTTGTCACAGGAAGGCTGTTGGCTGTCTGCTGGACAAATTCCTGGTGACAACAATTAGCTCAGGGTTTATTTGTATGCTGAACGCACACCGTATGCTTACAAGCATACTCCTGAATAAACATGAGTTTTGATGGGGAAAAAAGTTTTCAGTTTTCTGCCTAGACTGATTTTATGTTGTTTCTATTCATCATAATCAAGCTTTATTAAGGACACACATGGTCCAAAACACAAACAGTAACAAAAAAAAAAAAAAAAAAAAAAAAAAAAAAAAATTTTTTAAATAAACATTTAAATAAACTATTAAATAAACATGTTCAAAAAGATGCTGACCTTGTAATTAAGGTGCGGTCACACTGGACTTTGAGCATGCAAAATTACTTCAGAATAATATGGGCAACTGCACAGGGTTTCTGTTTTTGATAATAAATTATAAATAATAGATTAATAATTCTAATAAATGAATGAATGAAGGTCAATGGCTTTTTATCAGTGCAACTTTTCCTTGCAATAAAATAACAGGTTGAATAGTGCCATAGTACTATTTGTAATGCAGCTCACCACCAATTTGAAAATTAATGAGGAATTAAAGCAACACCAAGGAACTTTTCCACTGCGGTCGCCCTACAGGTTGGAAGCGGAATTGTCCATTACTGCTGTCGTAAATAATTTAGCCTACCGCAGCCGACTGTCGCGCTAGCTGTTTATCCAGCACCGGCTTTGGAATCAACAATCGTCAACAATGGCCACAGACAATTTGAGGAAGTGGTGGGGGAAGTGACGTATGCCGTAAAGCAGTCGAATTTTGTAGTTCTTTTTGTGCTCCGGTTACTACCCGAAACCCGAAGTTACATAGTGCAAGTAAAAGCGATACAGACCACGTCAGGCTATGGCAGACATGTCATTTAGCCTATTGTAAGTCGATGTACCATCACAAGGGTCTTGGAAATATATTATGAAGGTTGAAAAACTACATAGTGTTACTTTAAGCTTTCAAGCTTCAAAAAGGACACAAATCATCGTAAAATATCATTGAAGTGATCTATACGAGTTTTACTCTACATGTGTGCTATATTCCTGTCCATAGAGCACTATAAACATAAAAACTGTATAAACATTAAAAGTTCATTAACCTAAACCTGATGTTAAATTGACAAAGTTTGAACAGCTTGGTTTGGCACTTTGATTGTGACCTCTGTGTTATTGTCCCTGCTCAGACTGATTCTGATTGCACACATTTCTCTTTACAATCATTCACACAGTAGCACTTTCATATCCTTTGGTTCAGGTCTGATTCTCAGAACCTCACCGGGAAGCTGAGGCTGCAAATGACTGTTGACTTTAGATCTCTTTGCATGTGCAGTTTCATTCTGGCCTCGTGTAATGGAATGAGGCTATCGCCAAATATTTTGCATCATCAAAGCTTTCAATCCAAACTTAATTCCAAAAATCATTTCGTACTATTGAAAGGGGATGTAATGTACTAATTTGTCCTAATGTGTTCCTGTCTCCCTGCAGACCTGGAGATCGAATAATCCTGGCAGATGATTCCAATGATGACTGGTGGAAGGTAAAATCATGACAGATTTGCAGACTTCCACTCTCATGGTTAAAAATTGATTCTCTCTTTTATGCGACATTCTGCATCATTCTGCAACTTGATGATTTAAAAGATGCTCACAAAAAGTAAATTACAAAAAGTGCAATTAAAGTGTAAGTATAGTGCTATGTGTAATGCAGTTCACCACCAATACATGGCAAACATGATTTTTTTAAGTATTTCAAAATTTAATACACGGAAATTCTTAGTGATTAGTCAAACAGAAGAAATTAAGAAAACTTTTTTCAATGCCCTTATCCATGCAATTACAAATTGACTTTCAAGTTTCAGAAAAAGACACCAAAGTACCATTAAAAAAATGTGAAGGGGTCTATATAAATTTTACGCTACATGTGTGCCGCTTTGTGACCAACAGAACAAAATTTGTTTTTATGTCAAAATTATTACTTTATTCAATAGCATATTTTAACATACATTTTTGTGAGTTCATTTTTTTTGTTCTTGTGTATCTTACTAATAATTCCAGGGTGTGATTGAAGATAGAATAGGTTTTTTCCCGGCATCCTTTGCACATCAGGTGAGGGCAGGCGACAGGGTGTTCAGATGTCACCGAACCTTTATTGGCTGTAAGGAACAAGGGCAGATTACCCTGAAAGAGGGACAAGTGAGTACATTTAAGCAATTGCTGTAGTCTGATCATTTCTAACTTGGATTCCCACCACAAGCAGCTTAATAATGCTGCACTTTCAGATTTGTGTCAGCAGTGAGGATGAACACAATGGCTTCATCAGAGTAGCCAGTGGAAAGAAGAGAGGATTTGTGCCCTGTGACGTCCTGGAGAATATATGAAATGAAAGAACAGAGAAAAGAAATGGTTTTGGTTGAAGAAAAAGAGACTTTCCAGGGCAACAACTCGTGCCACACCTGTAGGAGGAGCAGACACTGCCGGGCTCTCAGGAGGGATCACAACAGCCCTGTTCTAACCCCTGTCTTACTCAGTGACAAAGGAAGAATGTACACTGACTCCAAAGAGTATTTGGACACCTAAAAATGCATACATTTCATTTCATTAAAGCTGCAGTCCGTAGCTTTTTTTGGGTAAAAAATTATCCAAAATACATATTTGAGAAAATACATAACCAGCCAGTGTTCAAAACTTTCTGCTTGCCTTAGCTCGATTCAAAGCGGTAAGCTTGTAATAATGTGTTTAATTGCAGTGGTACTGGTGGATTTCCGCGGGAGATTCGAGCATGTCTTTGCGTCATTTCGTCACATCTGTACTCATAAAGAAGGAGTCTCGGCTAGTAGGCTATATTGCGTGTGAGGATGTTGGAGGTGGAGATTTATAGCCTTTTCTCACAGCACTTGATATAATTAAACTTATCAATTTGTAGGGGTGGGAGAAAAAATCGATCCATCGATGCATCGCGATTCTCTCTCCAACGATTCTGGATCGATTCTGAGAATTCCAGAATCGATTCTGAGCTTAGTTTTTAACCAGATGTGCGATGACGTTGAGTTTACTTTAGAAACACCCGTATTCTGCTTGCTTACAATTCCTCACACACATACACCACTCGAACCTTCCGTAAAATAATCTTTCATAAAGTTCGGAAAGGTTGAAGCGAATTACAAGGACATTCACAGGCTTCATTGCACAGGATACGCTGTGAGAGACGCGCGCTTTCTTTGATGTTACACTTGAAGTGTGTGTGCTGTCTCGCCCGTCGGTATTTTCCTTACAAATGCTCTACGAAGTCATCATTTATGTGGTTTGGAATGCAGTGGACTTATATATTTAAAATTTGAACCTCACGCTGCTTTCAATTTCGAATGCTGACGCGCGCTTTGTTTGTGTCGTGAGACTGCTCGCGCATGCGGCCGTGCGGATACGTGTAGTGGTTTAATGTAGGCTACTTGAGCAAAATTAACGTAAACACAGCCAGTTATGTCTTAAGGGATTAAACGGACAGGACACAGCGCATTACTTCTTTCATTTCAAAAGAGATGTGTGCGTGAATGCAGCTTAATAGATTTCCCGCAGTCTATGATGTCATAGTAAAAAACAACAGTAAAGATGAAGAAAAATCACTCACAGTTCTTGAATGGAAAACGTTCAGATAATCTATAGGCTACTGAAAGCACTTTTTGTTTGTTGTTTGTTATATTTTTCTATGCTCCTCTTTATTATTTGTTATATTAGTTATATTAGTTGAAAATTCTTAACATACAACTGTTTTAATAAAAAAAATTATAATTTGTAATTATTTTTTAAAAAGTACTTAATTAGGCCTACTTAAGTAAACTAATGAATTAATGAGGGGGGGAAAGGTAGATAAAGAATCGTTCTGGAATCGGATCGTGACTCCCAGAATCGGAATCGGATCGGATCGTGAGGTAACCAAAGATTCCCACCCCTATCAATTTGATGGCGGATCCAGAAAGGTTCAAACGACAATCACCAGTGACAACAGATTCACCCGCTGTAAAATGCAAAAGACTTCGTTTGGACTTCGGAGTGGCTACAGATAAAAAGAGATTGCAACCGGGCATGCGAAAACACGGATACATATCGGAAGGACATTACATGTAGTCACGCAATGCTGACGTTGTTAACATTAACAATTTGAGAACAAAGTATAATTTGCACGGTTTTGCGTGATATGATAACTTATAAGCGATTGTTAGATTTAATCAGCGCGATTTACTGCAATGTCAGAACCAGAACAAAAGTAGATGTTTCTTACTAGTTCAGATGACATTTTCCGGTGAAATTCTTATGTTGGTCATATTTCCAAAAAGAATAATCTGTGATTCTGAATGACAGTATCCACACCTGACAGCCACACACTCTCCTCAAACATTGTGTTCATCCGCGCTGTGCCGTGTCGAGGGTGTCGAAGTACAACTCATGTAAAGTTGATAATTCCGCGAATGACTGCAATTGCAGATTTCGAACAGAGAGGGCGACAAAGAGGAAAAACGCCGGACTGCAGCTTTAACTAACAAAACCTTCAAATCATCTGCAAACAAATGATGCCAAGCTTTTCTCTAAACAAATGTAACTTTTCTAAGACATTTTTTCCCAACGACTTTTAACCAAATAGTGTCAAGGTTGTTGACAACTAGAACGTATATGTATTATATAATTTCAATCTTGAACCTATACAGTATTTCTTTAAACGCCACTTGGTTTGATATTTTGATTTCTAATGCAATGATATGCATACTTCAAGTTTAGCTTAAATGTCCAAATAGTTTTTGGGGCCCATTGTATGTGTGTTTCATTAACTAATGAATGTAAGTCATATTTTCTCTCATCTGAGAGAATTGTGTTTTCTGTATTTAATTTATTGAATGTTAGTGTAAGGGGTCAGCAACGGCAGCAGTTTTAACAATCAACTATTCACTATAGCATTAAAACTCACTTCACACTGTTTTAAATTACCGTAATAGTTAAAGCAACATATTTAATGCTTCAAATATTTCCATAAAGTCCAATACATGTCTGATCCTATATAAATGTTTTTTTTTTTTTTTTTTTTTTTATAAATGTACAGGTGTTTTTTTTTGTCTTTGTTTTTTGCAGTAACACTTCAGAATTTGACCATTTACTTTTATTTTACTTAAACTTCCAAAATGTTATTTTCCACTCATGCTTCTGAGAACAGAGCAGGAAAGAGCAGAGCTCAGCTGTGTCAGGATTATGAGTGTTTATAAATGTTACTTCTAATAGAAAGCAGAAATAACATATTCTTTGATCAAACGCACCCCCTGGACTGTGATTAACCATGTGGACAAGGCTTTCAGCCTACAAATCTTGACATCTTTTTAATGTCCTAGTGTGTTCAGCTGTCTCGATTTCTCAAACATTTGATATGTGCTACATGTCATATTGATTATCTTTTATTAATAAGTAAACAAGGCATTATAAGAAAAGAAGCATTTGTAATGTTAAAATTTTGATTAAAAGCTAAATGAAGCAGAAATATGTATTTGCTGCACATCACAGCAGGTATGACTGAAGATGATTACATTAAACCTTTTTAAATGAATGGTATTTTTTTTTGTCTTGTCATGGAAGTATAGACATTAAATTAAATTTAATTTTAAACAAAAAAAGTTAACTCATCTTGTCTGGTCTTTTGATATTCTTTTAATTTGAGTTAAATGAAGTTGGCTGATTGTAGAGCATTGTCATGATATTTCTGTGTATATACTTTATGTACAGAATTAAAGTTTATTTACTGATCTTATTTGTGCTGTGCTTTATTAAAATAAGTCTGCATCACATTTAATAGACAAACAGATATGAAATATTTTGAAATACCTGTATAACTATATTATCTTAAGCTTCCGCTAAAAATAGCCCATCCTATCATACTAAATACAAAATAATACTGCTCACTTTTAAATCTCTACATGGGTTGGCACCCCGTTATCTTTGTAACCTGCTCCTCTCCTACACATCAAGCCATTTCAGACAACGGGACTGGCTAATTAATATTAACATGCTTACGTAATAAATTGTTGGGAATTTGGGACAAGGCTGAAGAGAATGTTCATTCACTCCCCCCACCAAGATTTCCTGCCGGTAGTCTACTGAGACTCAAACTCAGTATATATTTGACTCATATTTGACATTTACATTAACATGAAAAAAGATTTTAAAAGTTTTAATGTTAAAAATTATGTATGGATAATCAAGTAAACTCAAGTTGCTTCAGTAAAATGTTCATCTTACATTTAGCCTATTTATAAAAAACATTTCACAGCAAAAATAAAGAGACTTTAATTGATTAAAAAATATATAAATTATCAATCAGAGGGCAAAAGGCATGAAGTATATTGTGCCCAACAGGTTTTCAGCAAAGTTTTGGTTGTGTTAATATTTTATAGACCCTAGAAATTTGCATATTAAATATGATACAGTATGCTAATATAAATGGTTATGTTTTAAAAAATTTATTAAAATGTTGTAACACGCATTGCCAAACAAGCATTCTTTTCACAATGAATTTATACCCCCAAAGGGGCGACTTATCCTGGAGGAATACTTAAATCAAAGTCATGTTTTTTTATTTTTAAATCATGAAATTGTATTTTTTGTGTCCTAATAAGATGGGGAAAAGCAATACATTAATTTTCTGTTGTATCTTTATGGTCTTTTTTAATTACAGTTTTAAGACATAAAATATAACATTCATTACAATTAAAGGTGCTCTTCAGTCATTTCTGACTGAAAAGGTTCTGTTTTGAATTGTTAAAAATCACAGCTTCATCGGAATGGTACAAAACTTGGTGACTTTTATGACATTAGGAATGTGAACACAAAAAAAAATTGAGGGCATGATTCGAGCTGGCTAAGTTCTGCTCTTCGGTCAAAAATGACCGACCATAGGAAATGAATGGGAAATTGACAAAAACACAAAAATTCTCAACAAATCGGCCACCCACAATGCAGAAAAATGTGCTCAGCAATGAAGGGGTGAAACTATAAAACATCAATAGTGAAAAACAGACACACCCACTCACACACACACACACAAATACACAATTATAAACACAAAGGAACTGGTAGGGCTACCATACACCATGAGTCAGAAGACTGAAATAAGAGGTTGAAATGAGATCAGATCCAGATGGATTAAGCTGTAATTATAATAACATTATATAAATAATAATTAATAATTATAATGAATATATACAGTATATATATAATTAATAATAATTAATATAATAATAATTATTATTATTAATAATAATATAAATAATAATAAGCTGTAATAAAGCATTCCTGTTAATTTTTGTAATTTTTTTTATTGAATTTTAATGTTACGTGTAACAAAATGCTTTCTCTGTATTCAGGTTTGACTGTAGTAATGCAAAAACGTGTATACTTCACATCAAAATGTATTTAATTTTTTTTATAAATCTTGAAAAAAGTATTATTTGAGGGTTTCTAAAAAATACATTCAAATCCACATCTTAAAAGTAAGTAATTTTGTCCAAAAAACAAATAGAGAATAATTCGCAAGCCTCTCCATAGAGAGCTATACAAGCATCTATGGTAACACCATGAAATGACATGTTTAATTTTATTTTCTATCAACAGATGGTGCTAATTTGACTTAAAAAATAAATTGGATTTAAAAGGCCTAGTCTCTATATTAATCTGAAATACTGCATTAA